CCTCTATTTAAAAGACCACCTAGAGAGTAGAACATTAACAGGTAGATTTAAATAATGGTTTATTCCAAGTCACCTTTTTTTTCCCACTGCCATCATGAACCAAGCCATAGCAATTGCTTCATTGTGTTCACTTACCAGACAGAATTTGACAACTGTTTTTGGTTTTAAGCTGCACTTGAAAAACCAGATTCTGAAACACTAAAACTATGTATAGTACCATATAGCACTTTGTGGCAAATGTTGTCTTTATACTTTACATTTCCCATTGGAGATATTATCCTGTATATTAACTATTGGAAGCTTTGCAATGCAATACTGGTAAGTGGATGGAAAATCCCAAAAGGACTTTGGAAGAAAACTGGTAGTGATCTCATAGCCACCACCACTGTCACTGACGTTCTCCGTGGCAGAGCTGAGGTAGCTCCTACAACTTCCCATGTCCCTTTGCATATGCCAATATTTATTTATTTATTTGGAAGATTTTGCCTATCACTCTATATTTATAAAACTGTAACCCTATCTTTTTCCTTTCTTCTGTTTAAAAGGAAAATAAAATTCATCTCAGCCTGTTAGCTTCTCCTTTTGCTATTACTACATAAAAGATGTCACAATATGAAAATAAAAGGGATAATCGGAGGGAGTACTGAGAAAATATAGAGAAGGCAAATTTGAAAAAGGTTATCAGAATTTCAAAATATTCTAAGATTTTTTTTTCCCCATTCGTAAGTAGACTTCTAGACTCAACAATTTTGATTAATCTAGATACAGCTATAGAAAACAAAGATATTTGTCAATATTAAACATCTGATCACTCTATCCCTAATGTTTTTTGGAGAAAACTTTTTATTTGAAAAATATACACAGACACATCATCAATATCCCAGTAAACCAGATGCTCTGCCCTTGTTGTTGTTGTTGTTGTTATGTGCCATCAAGTCAAACCTGACTCATAGCGACCCCTCCTTGGGCTTCCGAGGCAGTATCACTACGGAAGTAGGATTGCCCAACCTTTCTTCCGAGGCTCTGCCCTTAGCACATGCATATTACTGCCCTGGAGACCTGATAGCAGGGCACCAAGACAATGAATCTAGATGCCTTCTATTCATGAGGTTGATGTCCCAAGAATTTCTTCTTTAATCTCCATCTGACCAGGCTACCAGAACACAAGCAGCAAAGATCCCCATTACACATTTACATCTCTCTGTATTTAAATTCAGGAGCTCTGGTGGCTTAGTGCCTAAGGCATGTGACTGCTAACCAGAAGGCTGGCAGTTGGACAGGGCAATCTACTTCTGTAGTGATACCAGCTGGGAAACCCAACCCAAGAGGGGTCGCTATGAGTCATATCCAATTCAACGGCAGTGCATTGTGTTTGTTCATTTGTCTTTAAATTCACATTAGCTCAAGCCAATCTGACTTAAGCCATTAGTTTTCCCCTTTTAGCAATTAATGTAAGAGAATTTAGGATAAGGTTGTTTTGACTGCTGTTCAAACTACCTTCTGACAAGATCTACAAAGTGCACTTTCTTTTGATTACGTCCTTTGCAAGGGTCTGCATACCAAAGTCCTCCACGCTATGTAGAGAAGGATAACTATCAGGTTAAACACAGGGCACAGGCCAAATTTCTTTGATCACACAAAGCAGACTTACCAAAGGCAGGTACTGTAATGACTGGTTTAGAAGTTCTTTCCAGTCCTTGTTTAAACAAATAATTTAGCCTCTGCTTATATATGTTATCCCTCCACAGTATTTCAAAAATAAAAAGAAGGAACAAATGATTCTTAATTTGTTTCTGGCCTGAAGGACTTTAAAATCTGACAAGTTGTAACAATGGAGCAATACCAAAACAATCATTTGGGTAATAAACAGGCCTTTGTTTCATTATAAGCAAAATAAATAAACTCACTGCCATCAAGTCAGATCCAACTCACAGCACCCCTCCTTGGGTTTCCGAGGCAGCATCTCTACTGGAAGTAGATTGCCCCATCTTCCTTCTGAGGAGTGGCTGGTGGATTTGAACCACAAGCCTTCTGGTTTAGCAGTCACATGCCTTAGGCACTATGCCACGTAGAGAAAAATTAAAATTGCAGAGGGAAAAAGATACCCTATGGATATTTTCCTTCTTGGGAGAGTTTCTTTCTCATGCCAATGAAGTCCTCCCCAAGGAGAAGAAAAGAATGTGAATGTATGTATGTATTTGAAGGAAATTTTATGATACATTATATATACCTGGGGAGCTCTTTGGTGTAGTGCCTAAGGCATTTGACTGCTAACTAGTGGTTCAAACCCACCAGCCACTCCTAGGAAGGAAGACTGGGCAATCTAATTCCGTAGAGATACCGCCTTGGAAACCCAAGGAGGGGTCGCTATGAGTCAGAACAGACGCAATAGCAGTGAGTTTTTATATATATCTGACTGCCAGAAGGTTCTAGCCATAGGCACAGTACCTAACCATAGTCACAGTTTGCAGATTTAAAGCCCAACCTGTCTTCGCTACATGATTATAAATCTTCATGGGACAAAAGTGACGTATCTGTATAAGTATTTAATATTTTTACTAAACTTTTGCACATCTTACCTCAGTTACATTTAAAGCCATACAGCTTCCACTCCTAGCCAGGACAGTGTAACTAGTACTAGACTTCCCTCCTGACAAACTATGAAACAGAACAAAACATATGAGGTAACTGTTTTCAGGCAGCGTAGCACAAGATTATTGTAAGGCCACAGTAAGGAGAAAAGGACGCACAAAAGTGAGGTTAAAGAGAAGTTTTTATTCTGAGTTTCCGGGGGAGGTTTACGGGCCCCCGAGAGGGGCCCGGGCGAGGTTCACGGGTCCCTGAGAGGGGCCCGGGAAGTCGCACCGCCTGGCTGGGGAGGGGAGGGTTTATAGTCTTGTGGAGGACCTAAGCGGGGACACTAAGGAAATAGTGGGGTCCAATTAGCTGTTAGTATGGGTCTGCACTTAATTAGCATGAGGGGGCTTCACAAGAGGAAGCTTGCCACTGCATGGGACTTTCCAGTCTGGGCGGGTTCTGTCACTTCGGTTGTCTTATCAGGCTGTCTCATCAGGGCTTGACACCCGGAGGAAGCTGCTAACTGAAATGTTGGTGGCTTGGGTTTGGTTCGGCCTAACAATTATCATCATTGGGAGAAAGGAAACTCACCAGTTAGGTCCCATAATCTTCCCAGCTTTCTGCCTTAGCCCTTGTTAGCTATGAAGCAGAGATAAAACCCACGCAGAGTGGCAATTCCACCAAGCTGAGGAAGCATGGAAGGCGAGAATGCTACCACTGAAACACCACTGTCTAAACACACCTAACAGAATGGCTCAAGTCCAAAACACTGACACCACCAAACGCTGAGCGGGATGCGGAGCACCAGGAATTCTCCTTCACTGATGATGGGGATGAAAAATGGCACCACTACTTTGGAAGACAGGTTGGCAGTTTGCTTACAGAGCTAAACATAGACTTGGCAAATGATCCAGCAATCACACTCCTGGTTACCCAAATGAGTTTTAAACATACACACAAAACTCTACACGTGAGTATTTTCAACAGCTTTATCTGTAATTGTCAAAAATGAGAACCAAGACTCTTCAATAGTTGAATAAACTGTGGGACACCCATACAACAGAATATTATTCAGCCAGCATCAGGAATTAAGAGGACATGGAATGTGTGGCCAACTGCCTCTAAGAACAACTGCCCCCTGTACCATGAGACCAGAAGTGGATGGTGCTTGGCTACCATCACTGAACATTTTGATCAAAGATTCTAGAGTTGAATACTGATCAAAAGGGGGAAAACACAACAGAATTTCAAATTCTCATGGACTCTACAGACTTTCTGGAGCCATGGAGGGCGGATGAACCTTTGAAACTACTGTCCTGAGATAATCTTTAAACCTTAAACCAAAAATATCCCCTGAAGTCATGTTAAAAACAACAATAGTTTAGCATAACTAGTATGGGTGCACACTTTGAATGCAACCAATGTTCCTAAATTACACATGTAAAAACTGTTGAATTGGTATTTTTGCTGTGTATATTCTCAACAACAACAAAAACAAAAATTCAGAAGGAAAAAAAAATGAGCCATGAATAGGAAGACAGAGAGGAACCTTAAATGCATACTACTAAGTGTAAGAAACCAGTCCTTCATGATTCCAACTATATAACAATCTGGGAAAAAAAAATATGAAGACAGTAAAAAGATGAGTGATATTACCAGGAGTTTAGGGAGAGGTAAAGAAGGGATGAACTGGCAGAGCACAGGGGATTTTTAAGGAAATCAAACTATTCTGTAGGATACAGTAATGGTGGACACATGACATTAAGCATTTTTCAAAACCCACAGAATTGTACAACACAAAGAATGACCGAATGGAAGCTATGGGATTTAGTTAATAATGTAATTGGCTCATCAATTGTAGTAAATTATCATGTTAATGTAAGATGTTAATTTAATAACAGAGGAAACTGGGAAAGGGAAGGAGGGCTTGGGAATTTCCTGTACGTTCTGCACAATTTTCCTGTAAACTGAAACTGCTCTAAAATATAAAGTCTATTCTAAAGAAATGTACAGGAGGAGGTATTTATTCTACAATACATTCAATTGCAAAGTCATAATTACTAAGTATAATATTGATATGAAAATTACCATGTAGATCAAACACAGGCATGTGGGGATAGGCTAAAGTAGAATCGTAAATCAAATGGAAAACGACAGCCTCTTGATGATAGGATGACCGCTTCACCACATGGAAAAAACACTAAACTGCATTCATACCTCATGCCACACAAAAATAAACTCCAGATAGTTCAAAGATTTAACATTCAAAACTCCTCCAAAACTTTCAAGAAAAAAGGGGGCTACTGTACAACCTCATGCTACAGAAGACTTCTTAAAACACGCACAAACCAGAAGTGACGAAATATGTCCACTTGATTTAAAAATTAAAAACACTTCTATGAGGGGGAAAAATGCATCAAAAAGAGACCAAACTGGAAGATGTTTGCAATGCATGCAACAGAGACTAGTACCCAGAATATTTAAATTGCTCTTCCAACTCATTTTTAAAAAGTCAGTCCCCCAATAAAAAACAGGCAAATAATATATATGCCAGTGAGGAAATCTTAATTATCATTACACACACTATTGATTTTAAAATATCCAGACTCAGTAGAAATGGCAGAAATAACAGAAATGGCAATTAAAATAAAGAGATACCATTTTCACTCATTAGAACAGGAAAAAAAAAAAGCATTACCAAGTGTTGACAAGGAGGTGGGAATACAGGAGCTCTCAAATACTGCTTGCTAGTGAGACTAAAAACCTAAGAGCCATTTGGCTCTGATGCAACTTGGAAGTAAACTTTTTTGTTTTTTAATTTCTCCATGGGAGAAGAGCCAGATGAATATACTTAAATGTCCATCAATAGGGGAATAAATAAGCAAAATGTGCTATATTAATTCAAGTTATAAATAATCAACTAGATCCCTACACAGCAACATAAGCCCAGAAACGCATGTCTAAAATAAAGAATAGATTCAGCTTGATGACATTATGTACATTTTAAACACAATAAAACGGTAAGTTTCCTATAAATAGTAGGTGAAATGTAAAGTATAAATGAAAGTCTATACAAACTCAATGCCTCATCAGGGTACAAGATGGGAATGGGACTTTGAGGACTCGTCAGAGAAGACTTTATTTACATCATAATATCTTATTTATTAAAAAGAAGGAAAGCAAATATAACAGAATGGGAACAATTATTATTTCTAGATGGTGGGAGTGTATTTACTATTTATCCTTTTCTGTTGTTTTTTTTTCAAGTTTTCATTGATTTTCTCTGGTGCTCAACCACAAGCTCTGTTCAATACTGGTAGAAAACACGGTAGTGGCAGACGCATTGAGAAACAGGATAATACTGAACTTTTATATGATTTAAAAGAGATTCAAAGTAAATTTTGACTATGATTTTTGCTTCAACTGACAATTTTAGTATTTATCCTCTTACCAGCTGACACTCACAGTATTCATCAACACAACTTAAAAGTAAAGCACATTTAATTTAGATAAAGATGATGGACCAACTTAGCTACAAAATTAAGTTAATCAAATCATTTTCCTCTAGTGCCATCTGGTGGCAAGAAAAGGCAATCTGCTCTTACACAAATTAACCTCATTGTTCCCTCCTTTTACTTCACTTCACACATAATTGTGTTTTTTTTACAAATGGAAGGTTTGTGGCAACCCTGTGTCAAGAAGCAAGGCTATCAGCACCATTTTTCTGACAGCATGTGCTCACTTCACGTCTCTGTGTCACATTTTGGTAGTTCTCACAGTATTTCAAATGTTTTCATGATGCTACTGTACACTTTAATAGACTACAGTATAGTGTAAACAAAACTTTTATATGCGCTGGGAAAGCAAAACATTTGTGACTCACTCTATTGTGGTATTTGCTCTACTGCAGTGGTCTGGAACCAAATCCGCAATATCTCTTAGGTCTGCCTGACCCAGGTTTTTCAACCGTGCCTGTTTTATTCTGAATTACTGTGTAAGCTATTATTAACTATTTACTTTCTTTAGAGCCTTCTTCAGATAAGAAGCAAATGGATATGCTTTTTCTTTATTCTTTTAGTCAAATTTTTTTTTCCCCTGGTTGAGGGGAGGCCTCTCTCAGTTCCCACTGACTTGTCATCTATCAGACAGATTAATTTTGGTATCATTTAGAAGAACTGCTCTTTTACATAAAACTCTATTCAGAGATTTCGTCTTTACTTTTTTCAATCAAATGATGTATTAACTTCTGTTCCTCACCAAGCCATTCTGCAATTATAATCTGCGCTTGTCCACATTTCCATCCTGCCCGAATAACAAAAATTCCAACAGCTGATTTCTATACAAAATATTTCAGTGTCATTTTATTTTACATAAGCTTATGACAGTAAGAAATTTTCATTTTAAGGGCAGAATTTGTTTTAATATGTAATGTATGGTCACTATAAATGAAGAGGAAATTAAATAGTTCCTTCTTCCAAGCACTGAATGAGGTAATAAAAAATATACAGAATCTTACGAAGAGCCAATACAATAGACTAGACTTTTCATACATGGTTACTAGTTTCCTCTCTTGCAATAGTGATTCTTTCACTATTGCAAGTGAATTCTTTCATCCATTTACAATCCAGAGATGTAATTTAGCAGGGTGGTAAAATTACTCTAGAAATGCCAACTGTACTGAGACAGAATAAGTTAATTCTAAATGCTTTTCCATTAGTGTTTTATGTGGCTATGGTTCCGTTTGAACTTTAAACATTACTGTAATAGAAAGCTTTTTAACCATTTGCAAATCAGCACTAACAGAGGACAGAAATGAAGCCAAAGGCACTCTCTCAGAGACCAAAAATTGTTAGATTCTGATGTAGATTTAAACTTAGCGGGTTTCAGTCATTCAATGTAGATGATCCTGTAGGTTCATGCAAACGCACTGAATTGTTGGTTTAACATCTTTTCCCTCCTCAAAGTTTATGATAAAGAGACTAATCCCTGTATTGGGGCTGACTGATGAAAGTTCGGGTTTGCTTAGAGTTGTTGGTAGGGAACACTTAAGGTCAGTCAGAAAATAACCAAACAGGCTTCTCATATAAGCTCCATGGCTCACAACTAAGACACTGGCTACTAATTCTGGGGCACCACAGTCCGAATTAAATTCAGTTCCACAGTTTTTTCCTAAAGGAAATATTTCTGCCAAAGCAGTTTCCAGAGAGCTGCCTGGTGCTCCTTGGGAAAACCGTTCTTTTTGACCTGCTTCTTTCAGGATCAGTTGACAGAGAAATTCAAAAAAATCTTTTCCACGCAATTTCACCTACAAGGAAAGAAAGAAAAGGTCAAAGTTCTCAAATACAGCGACATTAATGACTGCCTTAAAATGTAACTGTAAACCATCACTGATTTGATTGTTTCTAATATGTCCACATGCCTATCACATAAGTAATGAATCTGTCTTTCTAATCATTCATTTAGTGGTTCCAAAGACATCAGTAGATGCCCACCATATGTCAGGGGCTACTGGTGGCATAGTGCCTACGGCATTTGACTGCTAACCAAAAGGCTGACAGTTCAAACCCACCAGCCACTCCTCGGAAGAAAGACTGGGCAACCTACTTCCACAGAGATACTGCCTCGGAAACCCAAGGAGGGGTCGCTATGAGTGGGATCTGACTTGACAGCAGTGCACATGGAAACAGACTAGGGACAAAGAAAAGTAAGATATAATTCCTGGTTCCTGACTTCAAAGCACTTAGTCTAGTTAGGGAAACTTGAAGTACATGGAAACTTACAAAATCGTCCTAACCAGGAAACTTCATCTGGTACTTTAACTCCATTAGAACAAAAATAATCTTTCCCTTAATAAAATAATATAAAGTCTTTACAAGAAAATTATGAATTATGAAAACTAAGAATGAGGGGGGGAGTCACCAAGCATGCAAATCAAAAGCAGAATATGGCAAAGAAATGCAGTCACTGTGATGACATCATTAACAGAGCTTAAAAGGCAGCAGAGGCTTGAAAATTTCCCTTCTGGAACGATGTCATGTAACACTCTTGAACAGCACCACACTGACTTCACTACCACTAAACCTCTTTCAGTAGAGTCAATATGAACTCATAGTGACCCTACAGGACAGAGTTGAACTGCCCTACTCAGCTACTAACCAGAAGGTTGGCAGATCAAACCCACCAGCCACTCCATGGCAGTCTGCTTCCGTGAAGATTACAGCCTAGGACTACTATGACTACAGCTCAAGTTATTCCTTCATATGCAGTGGTTAACATGCTCAGCCACTACCTGAAAGGTCTGCATCCATTCAGAGGCACCTAGTGTGCTACTTCTGAAAAACCAGCCACTGAAAACTCATTGGCAACAACCATCTAATACCTGTTTCCTTAAATCTATAATCAGTAATGAATGCCCACTTAGAGCACACATGTAAGCTAGGATTAAAAAAAGAAAAAAAACTACACACACACACACACACACACACATCAATACCTATATATACATATATAGGGAGCTCTGATGGCGTAGTGCCTAAGGCATTTGACTGCTAACCAGAAGGCTGATGGTTCAAACCTACCGTCCTCCTCAGAAGGAAGACTGGGCAATCTACTTCCATAGAGATACCACCTTGGTAACCCAAGGAGGGGTCACTCTGAGGTTGAACCAACTCGACAGCAAGTTTTTTTTGATACATATATATGTTTGTATACTGAAATAACACAACCATCAATTAAGTGTTTGGTGTGTATGTATCATACAGAGTTGTTTTAGGAACAAAGCAACTTTCAAACTGCTCGGCTAACATTTAGAAACATGTAATTGATAAAATTAGTCCAGTTTCAGCTATTCTATGACACTGGCAAGTTCATGGATGTGGCACTTGTACCCATGCTACATACCTGGTCTAACGTCTCTCCTCCGGGTGGTGTGAATGTGGGAATTTCTTCCCCAGCTGCTTTGGCCAATGCCCTTAGCTCAGCCAGCGCCTTGCCTTCTACGATCCCATATTTCTGCAATGATTCAATATATAAAATTGTCTCAACTGAATTTGCAAACTAAGTACGATTATGGCAAATTTGGAACAAAGCTTAGTTTCTTCCCACTTACTTTTATTTTAACTGTTCAACTGACAATGGGAATATACTGAGTAGAAGGCCATGTACCCTAGAAAATGTAGTTGAAATCTTAAGTGGTACACTATGTCACAGCAGATTGTATGGAACAACTCACTCAAGCTAACTTATGTAGAAGGTGGGGCTTTACTGGACAAATACAGGAATATGCATGAATATCCAGGACTAGAGACTAACATACATCCAAAGCACCAAGTCAGCCACATTACAGCCACACATAGTCATTTGATCCTCATAAATGCTCAATGAAACAGGTATTTTTAGGCCTGTGTTTATAAATGAGGAAGCTGAGTTTCAGATGGATTATGTAATTTATCTCTATTCTCATAACCAATAATAAGCAAATATAAAATTCAAATCTACATCTGAGTGACTTCAAAGGTCATGAGCTTTCTAGATTCATTTGAGATGAAGCCCTAACAAAAGACACATAAAGCACAAAAAGAAAACAAATGGCCAAGAAACACAGGGAAATGTGCTGGCTCATTAGGAATCAGTAATGTGAAAATTAAAATGGTATCATGTTTAAACTATTAAGCTGGACGATAAAAAAAGACTAATAATATCTAGTGTTGGTATGCAAACAAAAACATTCTCCCAGGTCAGTCATGGGAGTGTAGACTGGCACATCTCTGCGAAGCAATTTAGCAATATATGTAAAAGCTTTAAAAAGTACACATTTGGCAATTTCATTTCTAGGAGTTTATTTATATAAATATACAAAGAATTAAGTACAAATATGTTCATTATTGCATTATTTATGGATCAGTGAAAAACGTCATAGCCTGAATGCCTATCGGTAGTTGTTATCATCATGTGCTATCGAGGTAATTCCGACTCATAGGGACCCCGTAGGGTAGAGCAGAACTTCCCTGGAGGGTTTCCAAGGCTATAATCTTTACAGGAGCAAATCAATAGGTCTTTTCTCCCATGGATCCACTGGGGGGTTCAAACTGCAGACTTCTGGGTTGGCAGCTGAGCACTTTAACCACTGTGCTACCAGGGCTCCTTCCATCAGTAGTAGCTTGCTTAAAAGAATGATGTGATATCCATATACTGGAATAATAATCATTGATTAAGTGATCTTATTGATGTGTATTTAACAGCACTGAAAACAGTACATAAGAAGTGGAAAAAGTTGGTTTAAAAACAGGATTCTATTTTTAAAAATACATATGCAGATCTATAGATAGATCTAACCCGACAGATGACATAAAAATCTGGAACAAACATGCCACGATGTTAGTATTGTTTATCTGTGGGTGGCAGAAATTGTAACTGTTGCTTTTCTCTCCAGTTGTAACTTTTCATTTCATACCATGTAGTGGATTTCTTGCATAATAAAATACTAAAAGAGACAAATCATTATTTGTGGCTTGCCAAAAAATTCTAACACCATAATCAGATAAAAATCCCATAGTGAGATACTACTTTTGTTTTCAAGTAATATAAAATTCAAGTTTGTAATAAGAATATATGAATATTTTTTAATAATTTAAAATGTAATAAACTTTAAAATAAAAACATGTGCACATTTTGCTATAACCAGTCACTTTTCCAATCCTCAAGTCCAAATTCTTACATCTTCATCCATATGTGAAGCAACCTCCTTCCAGAGAGGGACAGTAAAAATCATCACTTTGTTTTTACAAGAATGGAAACATTCATTTACTAAACAAATATTCAGAATGCTACTCTGAAATACATGTCAGACAATGATGCCCCAACAGTGAAGGGGAGAAAGTCACAAACAGCTTCCCACCCAGGCTAAGACACAGGGGACTGTGGATACTAACCAATGAGCAATAGTGAAAGAGTGCCATGATGGAAGGAGACACAGGACACAGAAGTACACAGGAGAGAGGTCTATTCTGGGCTTGGGGAATCCCAGAAGGCCAAGGCCTGAAAGGCAAGTAGAAGTTGATCAGGTTTGGGGAGCAAGTATTCCAAGCAGAGTAGACAACAGACTCACAAATTCAGTGAGGAGAGAGCACCATGTTTGGGCAACTCAGAGAAGATCTCTAAGAGGTCTTTTATCAGTGGTCCAGAGAATGGGCTCCAGGGCCTGATGCCGCAACTTGAATCTCTGCTCTAGGAGCAAGAGGTAGAGCTGAAGTCCAAGGTCAAGCGGCCTTCACTCAGTCCCTGGAGCTGGAGACTTCTCTTAACTCAAACAGCTGCTGGCTGCTGAGGCTGACAAGTCCAAGGTTGACAAATAAAATGGCACAGTTCCAAAATTATCAGGCAACACAGCAGGCCACTAATTCAAGTCCATTAATGGTCTCAAGATCGGCAGACAACATGACAGGCCACTGAGATGAAGACTTGGCTATGTGCAGGGTCCAAATATACCAAAAAGCTCAGAGATCTTTCTCAAAGCTGACTTCTTATATGCCGGAAACAGATCACAATCCTAGGGAAGCTACTCAGCTACTCCAGTAAATCCCACCATGGAGTTAATTAATAGTCTCATCATGGGGAATAACTACATCCAGATGCTCAGCCACTCAAAACCAAGCTGACACACAACTTAACTACCACAATTCATTACTTGTTTGGTGTGGACTTAACTTCTACACACCTTGGCTTCTGCAACTGTAAAATGAGGATTAAAAACAGCACCCTCCTCTCTTCAGGCTGTTGTGCAGAGCTTGGCACAGTGCTGGCATGTGATGAGCACCCTGTAAGAGCTCGCCACTACAGCTGTTTTTAAGGCTGGAACACTGGGGACGAGGTAAACATGGTGGAAGAGGCAGGCTAAGGGAACAGCATCAAACAGATCACAATGCCAGCTTTAAGAGTCTGGGCAACCTCTTGAAATAAAAGGCAACTAGTGAACTGTGTTACACAGAAGCATAGCAATCATATTTTCAAAATACACTGGCTGCAATGTGGAAATTAGATTGGAAGAAAGTATGCATGACAGAATCTAGGTTAGAGATGACAGTGGTCTGCAATAAGAGGGCGGCAAGGATTTGGAGAGAAATCAATGGATTCAAAAACTACAAAGAGGTAGAACTGACAAGATGGTGGTAAGAGGTGCTGAGTCAAGAAGAAATGCTTTGAGTAAATGGGTGAGATAGCAAGTTCCACTGAGTTGGAAGTAGTTATGGAGCAAACAAACAGAAAAAAAAAAATGGTAGGCACTTTAATATGCAAATATGAAGCTCAGGCAAGAGAAGAGATCTAAGCTGAAAAGATACAGTGAAACCCAGGAGAGGCAGAACATGACAGGAATGCCTTATTTATCGGGTCTCCCAACTTTGCCACCTCTGACAGGATGCATTCTTACACTTTCCTATCATTCTCTATTAGTGAAAAATACTTGTTTTCCTTCTCTGCCAGGTTTCTGCCTACACAGGTTCTAGCTTTCACAGGTTTTACTGTATTTGAAAATCATCAGCCCAGTAACTTGTCAAGGGAGAGGATGAAACTGCCTCCAAAGAGAGTACAGAGTAAGAAAAAAAGATGGCCTAACCCAAGGAAAATGCCTACTATAATATTAAAGGTCTCATTCAGTGTTCCCCTAAGCTGAGAACATTTTTGTTTAACCATATTTGAGCACTGATCCTCAGGCAAAGAGTGAACCTTTCCAAGCAGCACTGATACTGAAACTCTACCCTTCTGTTGTATTTTCACTGGTTACAGAAGAAATGAGGAGCTGCTTGGTGGTAGGAATGGTTAAGCACTCAACTACCAGCAGAAAGAAAGGTTGGCAGTTCAAACCCACCTAGAGTTGCCTAGGAAGACAGGCCTGGTGATCTGCTTCCGAAAGATCACAGCCTTTAAAATCCTATGGAGCACACCTCTACTCTGCACACAGGAGGTCGCCATAAGTCAGAATCGACTCAACAGCAACTAACAACAACAAAGAAATTATGGCCTGGACACGAACCAGCTTACAGGTCACTATTCTAGAGTTAAAGAAAAATGCAATTCTGGATGGAAAGTTAGGTTCAAGTCCAAGATCTGAAATTGCTGCAGGGCTTTAGCTAAATCACAGCATCAGGAAGATTCATTTCTGGTACATAAAATGGACATAAGAAATCTAGACATAATTAAAAATACAAAGCAGGATTGGGAAATAACGAAAGGGCAATTCACTTTTACTCTAAACACTCTGTACTGTGTTAAGTTCTTACCAATGTATTTTGCTTCTATAATTTAAGATGCATATCTCATATAATATTAATAATTAAAAAATAAGATACTTTATGTGTGGCAATGACTATCACAAAGTAAATTCTTAACACATGTTCACTGATTCCAAATCCCTAGCAGGAATGCATTTAATTTTTAGCTATGTGTTAAAAATGAGGTGGCTTATTGACAATTTATGATAAACAGCAACCTGTAAAAAAATTGCTTACCCTTTCTCGAAGTCTTGAGTCATACTTTACTGTCATATCTTTGCAAAAGTTACTTTTCTCCAAAATCCCATGGATGGTCTGAAAATCAAAACACCGTCATTTCTTTTCTCATAATGTCATCATCGTTCTGGCCAAAAGGTCAAAGTACCTACAGATTTGTTTGGCCTTTTTTTTTTTTTTGCACAAGTGCATATACATCATTGTCTTCAGCCAAATCTATCCTTGGTCTAAGGGTGGATTCCTGTTTGCCTGCCCCCACCTGCTCTTCTCACCTGTCTATGCATTAATCTGTAGCCTGGTATTTGGTGCTAGTGACATTACATTGTTGTGCATGTAATGTTATTTGCCTCTGTTGTCTGTATCTTTTGTGTACATTTCAGTGTCTTTCCTTTCACCAATGTCACCATGCTGGTCACAGACTCTGTGCATACCATTCCTCCCTTCACTCAAATCAACTTGTGACCCCTAAATAGTCTGAGATTTTCCCTCCTCTGCCATCCCACGCCGGTAACCAACAACGTGAGTTTCTGTCCCTGAATAAACCTTTCCTTGACTTTTTACAATAGTGGGCTCATAAAATATTTATCCTTCTGTGACTGATTTCACTCAGCATAATGTCCTCTAAATTCGTCCATGTTGCAAGATGATTCATGGATTCTTCATTATTCTTTAATGTTGCATAGTATTCCATTGTGTGAATGTACCATAGTTTGGTTATCCATTCATCTGCTGATGGGCATTTAGGTCATTTCCATCTCTGTGCTACAGTGAATTGTGGTGCAATGAAAATGGGTGTGCTTATGTCTGTTCACGAGTTCTGGTGGCATAGTGCCAAAGGCATTTGGACTGCTAACCAGAAGCCTGGCGTGGTTCAAACCTACCTGCCACTCCTCGGAAGGAAGGTTGGGCAATCTACTTCCGTAGTGATACCGCCTCGGAAACCCAAGGAGGGGTCGCTATGAGTCAGATTTGACTTGATGGCAGTGAGTCTGGTCTGGAATTTTTTATGTCTGTTCATGTTCTGTCTCTCACCTCTTTAGGATATATTCTTAATAATGGAATTGTTAAATCAAATGGTATTTCTATTTTCAGTTTTTTACAGAAACACTATACCATTTTCCACAATGGTTGTACCATTTTGCAGTCCCCCCAGCAATGTATGAGAGTTCCAGTATCTCCACAGCCTTGCCAGCATTCATTATTTTGTTTTATTGAGGGGTCACTATGAGTTGAGTCCAAATCGACGGCACATAACAACAACAACAACATTGAACTTTGCTATTATTGCTGGGGTGAGATGGATCTCATTGTTTTGAGACATATCTCATTGTCTCAAATGATTTGTATACAAAGCAAATACATTTATATCTCATTGCCGTTTGATTTTTTGAAGTTTATTTTTAACCTTTTTGAGGACAGGTCTTCTGGAGTCCCTACTGATCACTCACTGTACTATCAAAATCTCTCTACTTTGGCTATAGAACTCAAATACTTGATTCCCAGCCCTGTGAGAGTTCTAGGATTGTCAGGTTACAGACCCCTAGTAACTGTTCTCTCCCAGAAGTTGTTCTTTTGCCTGGCTTCAGGAAGTTCCACCCTATACATGTGCAGATTAATATCCCACCAAATACTCAAGAGGCCTCTGTATACATATTTGATGCTCCTTCTCTACATAGCTCCCACTTCCAGTATTCTGCCCCACAAATGTTAGCAATCCTGGCTTCCCCAAATACCAAACTCTGTCTCTTCAACTCGTCAACTCACTGAGACCACCGGGTTCGATATGCATTCCATCTCTAGTGCTTCAGCCAGAAAACCAGGGCAGTCTTAATGCTCACTTTACTTCCCTTCATTCAGGGGCATGGTCTCACGATGCCTGAAGTCTAATATCTGAACTTGTTTTTTACCTTTTGTCCTATTTTCTAGTGTTTATGGGGGGAAGCTAAGTCTTGAGCCTATTACTCTCTCATGGATGGTTGCAAAGGTCTCCATCCATAGAGTCTTTAATGTCAACATTGTATTTTAAACTTTTAGATGGTGACTTAGTCCTTTTTTAAAAAAAAAAAAAAAATTTCTAGGGTGGTTTTTATAACATTTTGTCCCGTAAAGATATTTCAAATATGTCTTTTATTTCTTTAACATGTTAATATAGCTGTTTTTTTACTGCATCTGGAAATCCGTTTCTGTGGGTTATATATTCCCATTTATTGTTTCTGCTGGCTTTCTCCCATGGCATCTTGATTGTATTCTTACAGGCTTTTTCTCAAAGCTATTCTAATTTGAAAATTACCAAAATAAAGTAAAATGAAAAGAAGTAAGTTCTGCGTGGGGGGAGGGATTACGTGTGACAGTGTCTGTGTGTGATGTACTTCCTCACTGCCTCTGACAGCAGATTTTCAAGGTTACACAATAGTGGAGACTTCTGACCCATAAGCCTTAACATTGACTCTAAATGTACCTGTTTTGTCCTTGTGAGATCACTGGAAAAAACATGAGTAAACTTCACATTACTGAGGAATAGGCCAGCAGCTGCTGCTTGTTTAAATCCAGTTTCTGAAAGAGGCTCATCGAATCCTTGTCCTGTGGTATTAAGAGAAGGAACAACAACATTCAAAAAATACGTGTAAGGAATACAAGTTAAATCACACGTAAGAGAATATTAATTCCACCAGCCTCCACGACTCTGAGACCAGAACTAGATAGTGCCTGGCTACCACGGCGGACTGTTCTGAAAAAATGGTCCCGGATAGAGTGGGAAAAAGTGAGGAACAAAACTCAAAATCAGAAAAATGACCAGGCTTACTGGTCTAACAAAGGACTGTGGAACCTCCAAGACTATGGCCCTTAGTCACCCTTCAGACCTGGAATGAACTCACTCCAGTGGCTCGACTTTCAGCCAATCAATAAACAGACCTATAAAGTGAACAATAAGACCAGGGAGGTGTGCACTCCCCAGAACAATCAACTACACAAGATCAAAAAGGCAGCATGTGCCCAAGGATAAAACGCAAAAGGCAGGAAGGGACAGGAAAGAAGGACAAATGGAAATGGTAAACACAGGAAGGAAGTAGGAAAGTGCTATTATATTGTGGGGATTACATCAGTGTCACAAAACAAAACATGTCTGAATTGTTAAACGGAAAACCAATTTGCTCTGTAAACTTTCACCCAAATCACAATGCATTATCAGTATTTTAGTAAAAGATTTCCTTAGGTAGTTTTCCATGTAACTTTTAAGAGAACAGGTAACATGTAAAATGGACCTATATTCTATAAAGGCTCAGTGTTATGGATTAAATTGTGTCTCCCAAAGAAACAATTCTGATGGTGGAATCCTAACCTCTATAACTTGTGGAAAGGAGCCCTGGTGGCACAGTGGTTAAACCTCTCAGGTGCAACCAAAAGGTTAGTGGTTCGAATCTACCAGCCACTCTGCAGGAGAAAGATATAGCAGTCTACTTGGAAACTCTATAAGGCAGTTCTACTCTGTCCAATAGGGTCACTATGAGTTGGAATCCACTCAACAGCAGTGAGATGGATACAGTATAATCCCATTTGGAAATAGGGTTTCATTATGTTATGACGTTGTGTTTGTCATAGGGTTTCATCATGGAAATAGGGTTTCGTTATGTTATGACGCCATACCAGCGTAGGTGTGTCCTAAACCGAATCACTTCTGAGTAAGGTAAGGAGCAGATCAGACACAGAGACAAGCAAGCACAAACAGGGTGGGGAGTGTTTGATAGATGCCATGTGGAAATCACCGAGGAACCCAGAAAAGCAGAGGCCAGAGAAGCTGAGACAAGGATTTTTCTCCAGAGTGGCCAGAGAACCTTCCCCTAAAGCCAGTGTCCTGACTTTAAACTTCTGTCTAAGGCATCTGACTGCTAACCAGAAGGCTGGTGGTTCAATCCCACCAGCCACTCTGTGGAAGGAAGATCGGGCAATCTCCTACCGTAAAGATTTACCACCTCGGAAACTCAAAGGTGTTTGCTACGAGTCAGAACTGGCTGCATGGCAATGAGCTTGGTTTTTTTTCTTTTTAGCCTCCTCAACTGTGAGGAAATAAATTTGTTAGAGCCACTCACCTATACTTCTGTTACAGCAGCGCTCAGAAACTAAGACACGTAGCTATTCAAATGTTAACCAAGAGACGGTTTCCCTAATGAAAGCAAGATAATAATGGGGGGTGAATCATGTTAGGCCTTTCCTATTAGCTACGTTTTATTAATTCTGACTCTGAGTTTATTTTCCCAACTCAGGTGTTATATTAGGGTGGTAGAACTATCGTGAGTTTATTCCTCTTTATCTCTGCTCAGTATTATAAATTTATTACTGTGCTTATCTCTCTCCATTTCAAAAATGCTTTCGTGCCTCTATTTCCAGGAGAAAGGCTGATCAGACACTCTAAAGAACCATTCCACTACAAAAGAACCAAATGGTGCAAAGGGAGCAAAGCTAGCAAAATCCTGAGCTGAAACCTGGAGGGTAACATGAGGAAGACGGAAACTGCTGTGACATCAGCACTAAAAGCTAGGGGGACTGGGAGGTGGAGAACGAGGTGGAGAATGAGTGAGGCCTGTTGCATGGGACAGCAAGGTGGGAGAAATGAACCCAACATTCCCACATGCAAGAGACCCCTAAGAAGGCTAATGTCACCTCATGTCGGTGGCGAAATGAAACACAAATCCTCTTAAGAGCAAACAAATCTTAATGAAGGCTAGTAAGTTTTGTTACTAATTTAGAGCAAACAGTAGTCCAAAGACTAAACATACAACAAAATAATCAATCATGAATGAAAGTCAGCAGATACAATAAATAACAGAACTAGGCCTAGAAAGACTTCAGATAGCAAAATTAGCAAACACGGAATATGAAACAAATACGAATAAAAGATACAAAAAGACAGAATCACAAAAATAAGAAAGCAACAGAAGAACATAAAAAATGACCAAGACAGCTTTTAAAAGAAACAAACAAATCTTTTAATATTGAAAAAGAGAACTACTGAGGACCAAAAACAAAAACAAAAAAAATCCTTCAATGGATAGAGATTTGGTGAAATTAAAAATGGAAGTTTAATGGATCAAACAGAGCTGAATATATTGCCAAGAATGTAGCACAGACACAAGGAGATGGAGCATATTTAAGATACATTAGAGATATGAAGGAGAGAAAAAGAATTCCTAACATGCATCTCATTCACTATCAGAAAAGTAGGACTTTATGACAAAAAAAAAAGCCTTAATAAGGATTGTGATGATCACCATAAATAATCAGTGATTCAATCTACTAGGAAGCTGTAACAATTTTAAACATGTATGTATCTAATAAAATAACCCCTAACTATACAAAAGCAGAATATGTATAAAACAAAAATTGATAGACATAAAGTATTAATGGGTAAATCTGTCATCACAGTGGGACATTCAACGCAACTAACTCATAATTTGATATTTAGGTTATGCAGACAAATTAGTAAATTTACAAAATCAGTAAAATATATATATTTGAACAACAAAATTAATTCAAGACTATAGATTTTTCTCAAATATCCAATGGAACATTTATAAAACTTGACCATGCTCACAATTTCAAAGTAGTATTAAATAAACTATATTGTTAGAACACACAAACAAACTAGAAGTTGATCACAAAATAATAATTAAAAAAAAAAGAATAAAAACAAAAATCCCAATCATTTGGAAATTTAAAAATAGTTTAAACAACTTACACATGAAAGAAGAAATCATACTAGAGATTTGAGACACTTGGTGCTGCACACTTATGAAATTCCTACATAGCAAACTGTTGGTTAGCGATGACAGTTGCACAGCATGGCAAATGTGCCGTCACCGAATTGTACACTTCTTGTTGTTGTTATGTGCCGTCAAGTCAGACCCGACTCATAGCGACCCCATCTTGGGTTTCCGAGACAGTATCACTACGGAAGTAGATTGCCCCATCTTCCTTCCAAGGAGTGGCTGGTGGGTTTGAACCGCCAGCCTTCTGGTAAGCAGTCAAGTGCCTTAGGTACACTTAAGGCTGGTTAAAACAGCAAATTGTTCACGACATATATTTACCACAATTAAAAAAAAAAAAGTTGGTATGCAACAGGAAACAGTATTTAAGAGAAAAACTTAGACCTTGAGAATACTTAAAACAAAAATATGACTTATGATACCAACCTACAAAGTTTAAAAAAAAATACAAACTCAACCTAAAAATGAGTACAGATTTAAAAAAAAAAAAAATTCACTCTCCATTTTCAGCTTCTAAGACAAATGAGCAGTAAGTACTAAAGGACAACAAAGGAAGACTGGTGGCACAACAGTTAAGTGCTCATCTGCTAACCAAAAGGCTGACAGTTTGAACCCACTCAGCACCTCCATGTGAGAAAAGACCTGGCAATCAGCTCCACTAAAGATCAAAGCCTAGAAAACCCTATGGTGCCATTCTACTCTGACACATGGACTCCCTATGAGTGGCAATTGACCTAACAATAACAAATGACAGTAAGGTGGTAAGGGACTAAAGACCAAAGGATAATAGACTGGAACAGTTGTCATGTGAAAACAAATTTAACTCTCATGTAATTGTCAGACTAGTTTTCATGCTGGGCATGAAAATCACTTTCATCAGGTGGATACACTCCTTAGAATTATCAACCATGGGAGAAGAGAAGGGCAGTATTTGCACAGGGAGATACCTCAGAGGACAGGAATGCATAGGAAAAAAGGGCACAGGGAAGAGGTAACTACAGGGAAAAAGTGGGAAGAGAGCTGTTACATTGTGAGGATTGCAGTCAATGTCATGAAACAAAATGTGTATGAACTGCTGTGTGGAAAATGAATGTGCTCTGTAAACTTCCACTCAAATCACAATAAAAATTAAAAAAGAAAGAAAAGAAAAGGTGTATATCAGGGTTGTATCTTTTCATTAAATCAGTATGCTGAGCAAATAATCTGAGAAGCTGGACTATATGAGGAAGAACACAGTATCAGGATTGGAGGAAGACTCATTAATAACCTGTAATATAAGATGACACAACCTTGCTCGCTGAAAGTGAAGACAACTTGAAGCACTTACTAATGAAGAACAAAGACTGCAGTCTGTAGTATGGATTATACCTGACCTGACTTTCTGGAACCACGGAGACTGGATGAACCCCTGAAACCGCCCTGATAGAATTTTTAAACCTTAAACCAAAAATATCCCCTGAAGTCTTCTTAAAACCAAACACTTCAGCCTAACTAGTAAAGCATGTCTGCCTTGAGCACTGTGCTCTTGTAAGATCTATGTGGAATCAAACTGACAACAGCAACTCAAAAGATTAGACAGGGAACTAAGGGGGCAGTGAGTTAACATGAATGGGGGAGGAACAATTTGAAAAAGGGGGTGAGGTGGTCACACAACTAAAAGAACATAATCAATGTCACTGGTTGTACATCTAGAAACTATTCAATTTGTGTATGTTCTGTGCATATTCTCAACAACAGAAATAAAATAAACTACTAGAAAATGACGTAATAAAAAAATCACTTTCTGCAAATCCCAGCCAAATGTTCCCAAAAACAAAAATCTAAATGCTTTTATAATCATAGCATTGAAACAGTGTCTAGCTAAAAGTTCACCCAAGACAGTCTTAAAAAAAGCCAGGCTAGCTGGGTCATGGGGAGCTCAAGATGTGAGCCCAATTTAATAGAACAAAGGAGGAAAAATCTGTTGAGAATGAAGTAACAAATACATGTGAGAAGAGTTGTCTTTTTTAAACCTCTTCTTTGTTACTACTAAAATTAAAACAACTATCTTAGCAGAAAAATATTACTACCAACAGCCAGTAAACTTTATGCTTCCTTAGCCAACTGGGCCACTTTGAAACTGCCCATAAACAATCTGGAAAACTGTTCTTTGCATATAGTTCACTTAAGAGATTTATTCCTCTTGGTTACCAACTGTTCTGATCATATTTCTACTATTATGATGCTTTAATTCTGTAATCTCAATTCACAATACAGTCCCCAGTCCACCCCGCCCCACCAAAGCTACCTAACTCCCATATCACAATGGCATTAAAGGAGAGAGCTAAAATAACAGGATTATACCAACCTTGAATTATTTTCTCCTTGTTAAATCTGGTTTCTCCACTAAAACAGAAAGTGAAGGGAGAGGAAAAAAAATAACAACTTGATTATCAAATTACATTATGTTGAGAAGAAAAATCAGCAGAATTTTTACTAAGATAATAAAATGATGTAGGGCAATGACATTCATATGATAGCTTATGAATATGTAACATATATCACAATCTAGGCCATAAAAATACAATTTATCCTAAATTAAGTCAGTATTCTACTCTGAATGTGAGAAATCCCTGGATGGTACAAATGATTAATGTGCTCGGCCACTGAAACCCCTATTAAAAAAAAAAAAAAAACCTCACTGCCATCGAGTTGGATCCAACTCATAGTGTGACCCCTCCTTGGGTTTCCGAGGCAGTTGTTGTTGTTGTTGTTGTTATGTGCCGTCGAGTCATACCTGACTCATAGCGACCCCTCCTTGGGTTTCCGAGGCAGTATCACTACGGAAGTAGGATTGCCCAACCTTCCTTCCGAGGAGTGGCTGGTGGGTTTGAACCACCAGCTTTCTGGTTAGCGGTCAAATGCCTTAGGCACTACACTGTGAGAAACCCCGATGGTAAAGGAAAATAAGGGGAGTTTTTGCTTAGGGGGCGGAGTTTATGTGCATGGTGGTAGAATCATTTGGAAAAGAACAGGGAGAATAGTTGCACAACTTGAAGAATGTAATCACTGTCACTGAATTGTACATGTAGACATAGTTGAGTTGGCGTGTTTTGTTATGTGTATTTTCACCACAATAAAGAAAAAAGGAAACCCTATGGAGCACAGTTCTACTGACACACATGGGGTCACCATGAGTCAGAATCACCTTGAGGGCAACTTGTGGTGGTGGTGGTGGCATTTGACTGATGACCTAAGAATTTCAAACTGTCCAAAATTAAAACAGATAAGCCAGTAATCAATCTTAAGTCAATTACAAGTGGGAAATCCTATAAAAGTACATCAATCTTAAGAATTGCCTGCCTTTCCCTAGTTTCTAGGTCTTAAGTTGTTGTATTTTACAGTACTGAAAAATATCCTGCAGACTACATTGGAGAACTGAGCTTTAGGTGCTACACTTTTAAGAATTAAAAAACAAAACCAATTCTGTAACATACTGCACATAAACACTGTTCTATATCCTACTTTGGTGAGTAGGACTGAGGCCTTAAAAGATTACAAGTCGTTGTCTAGATGCAACAATTGGTCTCTCCTCATCCGGAGAAAAGGAGATGAAGAAAACAAAAACCTATGGAAACAATAAGTCTAAGACACTAGTGGACCATGCAAACCTCAACCTATATGACCATAACACCAGAAGAACTAGATGGTACCCGGCTACCAGTGTCAACCACTCAGACAGGGATTGATGCAGAAGATCCTGGATAGAATGGGACAACAATGTATAGCAAAACTCAAAATCATTTAAAAAAAAAAAAAGACCAGGTTTATTGGTCTGATAGAGCCTAGCAAAACCCCCAAGACTACAGCCCCTAGTTACCCTTCAGGCCTGGATATGAACTCACTCCTGTGGCTTCCAGCCAAATAACACATAGGCATATAGGGTGAACATTTACACAAGGTAGATACATTTCTTAGAACAATCAATCTTGGGAGAACAAAAGGGCAGTATTTGTTCAGGAAGACAGCTCAGAGGGCAGAAAAGAAAAAGAATGAAGGACACAGGGAAGAGGTAACTACAGAGAGGAAGCTATTACATTGTGGGGATTGCAGTCAATGTCGTGAAACAAAATGTGTATGAACTGCTATATGGAAAATAAACTTGCTCTGTAAACTTTAACCCAATTCACAATTAAAATTAAAAAAAAAAAATCTGCAACTCTGACAACATCACAGGCTGATGAGGATGTGGAGCAACAGGAACTCTCATTGACTGCTGGTGGGAATGCAAAATGGTACAGCCACTATGGGAAATAGTTTTAAAGTTTCTTACAACGCTAACATAGGTCTACCATACAATCCCAGCTATCACACTCCTAGGTATTTACCCAAATTAATTGAAAACTTATGTTCACACAAAAAACCTGCACACACATATAGCAGCTTTATTTATAATTGTCAAAAACTGGAAGCAATCAAGATGTACTTCAATAGTGAGTAGATAAACAAACTGTGGCTCATCCATACAACGGAATATTACTCAGCAGTGATAAAAAGAAATGAAATATCTAGCTACAAAAAAACAGAGAAATCTTAAATGAATACAGTTAGTCCTCAAGTTACTATATATTCCAGTTATAACAAACTGCACTTATGACCGACCATCTTTTTTTTTTTTTGTACATCTTATCCTCAGTAGTATGTACTACATACAGTGTTACAGTGCATAGTCTGCTGATGTTACCATTCTCTTCCCAACCCCCAAAGACAGATAAACATCAGACTTCTAAAGATACTCATAATAAAAGGCAGTAATAATGAAAATTTGTTGGTGGTGGTGGTGGTGGCCACTCGCTTTTGGTATATTGCCTTTCCCTACACCCAAATCAATACATGTCTCTTACCTAGCTAGCAATTTTCCCTCCCTCCCCGCCTATCCCCGGTAACCAATAAAGAAAGTTTCCTTCCATATGGAAACCCTTCCTTGACTTTTTACAATAGTAGACTAGTATATTATTTGCCCTTCTGTGACTGACTTATTTCATTCAGCATAATGTCCTCCAAGTTTGTCCATGTTATGAGGTATTTTAAAAATTTTTAAGAAACTTGAGGTATTTGACTTACATCAGAACCAATTTACGGTGTCATCAGAACAAAACTCCATCATTAGTGGGGGGACTACTTATATTGCTAAATAAACAAAAGAAGCCAGTCAAAAAGCTATCTACTGTATCACTATATTTTGGAAAAATTTTAGAAAAACTAAAACTACACAGACAGTAAAAATATCAGTAGTTGCCAGTTTAGGGGGAGAAGGAGTGATGAATAATGTAACACAAGGGATTTTTAGGTCAATCTGTATGATAATGATAGACAAATGGAGGTATGCATTTGTCAAAATCCACAGGAATGTACAACACAGTGAGCCCTAATTTGAACTATGGACTTTAATTAATGATAATGTGTCAATATTAGTTCATCAATTGCAACAAATGTATCACAGGAATGCAGATGTTTATGCTAGGGAAAACTGTGAGCACAGGGAAAGAAGGTATATGGGAATCCTCTGTACTCTCTGCATACTTTTTCTATAAACCAAAAATTGCTCTAAACAATGCAGCCCATTTAAAAAATAAACTAACTAAAAAAAAAAAAAACAGAATTGTACAATA